TATGTACCAAGAACAATGAATTCACGGGCGGATAGTCTCGCACGCAGTGCCAGAACACAATCGTCTTTCGTTGTTCACATGGATACAGAGCTGCCGGTTTGATTCACAGAGTCTGTATGAGTCTGTTTTTGTTGATGTCAAAAAAAAAAAAAAAAAAACAAAAATAATAATCTCATTTCGCGCAAGGCACGGATTATTATCTAGTATTTAATGATTGGAGAAGTACACTACACATGCATTTGAAAAGTGAAGGAATTAAAACGAGTAGATAGCTAACGACCAAATTAATGTATAAGGAAAGTGTTTCAATAGAAAAAAAGATAGCTAAAGACCATACACAACTAGTGAACATTTTTAATGGGTACATACAAAGCCAGTCACAACAAGAGAACATTACTCGAATCTTAAAACTATACAGAAATAGAAGACTTGTAATCAAACTCAAAAGGAAAACAATGATGTGAAATAATCACATTCTCAAGAAAGAAAATAAAAAACATGGAAGCAAAATCCAAAGGAAAAAAATAAGTGGGAGCAAATAAACCATCATAGGTCTCTCTACTCGTAATGCATAATACTCAAGGCTCCCATGCGAATCCTCAATGGCTTCCATCGTCGTCTTCTAACAGTTATTTTGAATCATACTCAAGGATCCCATAATAAACATCATTTGTATTACTGCTTTACGCTCAGACTCAGGGCTATCACGCAAATACATATTGATATTTGCTATCAACATCTGTTTCACTAACTCCAGAGTGCCCCCAAAAATCAGGACACCACATTCAATAATTTCGATGACCTGGGATGAGCTGCTGAATTCGAACAATATCTCTCTGTACTGTTCATCTTCCCCAGGAATATGGGAGGAAAGTATAGCCAGATGTTCTGATTGGAATCTAATGGTAAGAGGAAATCTCCATTCCCCCCTGGGGCAACCATTTATGCTTATGCGCCACATTAATTCTAAATCATCGAAAGCATCTTCCACCCCTGGTTTAGGGGAAACCAAGACACATATCCTAAACCGGGAGGCATTTGAATTGATGGTCAAGGAGTTTCCTTTAGCCCTGTGATTGAACTCTGCAGGTATATCTCTTCCAGGTATGCATGCAAACGAAGATTGCTGCTGGATAATTGCGCTCCTTACTTCTGGACCCAATTTGAAGCAGTCGGGGAAATAGAGAAATCTAATCTGAGAGTCTGAAGGGAAAGGTACAACTAGTGTCTCCAGTAATTCACAACTCCATACCACTAGTGTTGTGAGCGACCTAGGAAGCTCTGGCAGTGATACAAGCTTTGGACATCCAACTATAAAAAGATTTTCCAACGTATGAAGATCTTTGATGCAATCTGGAATTCTCTCAGTATCTGCGCCACTTCTCTCTAGCCTCAATTTTGTAACATGTGACTGTGTCAAAAAGTCACGTGGAATGGCACTACCAATTATATAGAGACTCTTGAGACGAGAACAGAGCCTAATTGATGCAGTAAATTCTTCTAACATCGTGTCTACTATTCGGAGATCTGTGATAGTCGTAGAAATATCTGGAAGCTTCCTCAATTGTTCGCATCCCGCTATCGATACTCTTTGAAGAGATGCCAAGTTGGAGAGAGTCGGAACAACTTGTAAGTTTCTACATCGATCCATCTGCAACTTCTCTAGTTTATGAAGATTTCCAACAGAGGAATGAATCTCTACCAAATTCTCGCAATAATTCACATCCAAAATCTCAAGATTTGTAGCATTTGCAAGATCCGGGAGTTTCTCCAAATTAAACGATGATGTCAAAGTCAGCTTCTTGAGATTTCCAAGTGGCTGAATACGAAAATTATCAACACATGATGAGATGATGTACGAAAAATAGTCATAATCGTGTGTTATTTACATTAGTAATTCATCCAAGATAATAAATAGGGTTGTGTGTTATCACTGGTTGAATGTAAAACAACACAATAACATAATAATATTCATGAAATTATCACTGTTTTTTATTTATCTATATTACTAGGCTAGTAATGAACACAAGATAATTACCCTAGTTAATAGTTTTTTATAATAACATTCTTTTATCATAATAATATTCATGAAATATTTATATATGTGAATGAACACAAGATATGTGAATCACAATAACATAATAATATTCATTTATCTACTAGTAATACTAGGGTAATTATCTTGTGTTCATTCACATATATAAATATTTTAAAATAAATATTCTATAATAGCTGATTAATTTCTTATTCTCAATTTAAATAATTTTATAATTTTTATGTATAATATAATATTTTTAAGTTAGTCATGTGATTTTATATATGTAACATCTAGTTGGTTTGTATATTAGATTGCATCTACTTCTCTAAATTCAATCATAAAATTTTGTTTTTCTAAATATATTAAAATTTTGATATTTTTTAATTTAAAATTTAGGTTGGTTGTTCTTTTTAATTTAAAAATATATTTTAGTGAAATTTCGTATAACCTAATATTTTCTTTGAGACTCAAATAGACAAAATAAATTAAAGTGTGGATTGATGAAGAATAACATAAAGGTAATATTTTGAATCTCATGCATATATATATAATATATTACAAAAGAAACAAATTGGTAAAATTATTTAATATTTTATTTTTATTTTAATATGTTTTAAGGTATCCATAATATATACTATTATTTGAGAAATAAATTTGCTGATCTGTCACACTAATCATGATTTTATGTATTTCCTTTACTATATAATTAAAAAAAAAATTCATATTGATAATATTAGATTATATTTTATATTAGCTAACTGATTATAAATTAATATGATAAAATTTTCAAATTAAAAACACACTTTAAATTGTGAGAAAATTATATATATATTTTTATTGCTTGGAAATAGTAAATTTACTTGTATGTCCCATTCCCTATGATTTTAAATATTTTTACTTATAATTATAAATTAATATGATAAAATTTTCAAAATAAAAATATATTCATTTTTAAAAATAAGATATATATATATATATATATATATTTCTTTTTATCTGAAAATAATATATGCGATTAAGATATAAAAAATATTTATAATTAAAATTTGCTTATGTGTCATGTTCTCTACTATGATTTTAGGTATTTTGTTTATTGTATAATTAAAACAAATTTTATATTGATATTATTATATGTTATATTAACTAATTAATTATAAAGAAATATGATAAAATTTTCAAAATAGAAGCATCGTTAAAAAAGATATGATAAAAAATAAAGATATAAAAGAATTGATAGTTAAATTCTGATTATATGTTATGTTTTCTATGATTTTAGATATTTTTACTTATTAAACAATTAAAAATATATGAATAATATTAAATTATTCGTTATATTAGCTAAATGATTTTAAATTAATATGATAAAATTTTCAAATAAAATAATTTTTTTTTTCAAAATAAGAATAAGATAATTCATATATATATATATATATATTGTTATTATCTATAAATAATATTTTCTATAACAAAGGATTAATTAAAATATTCTAATATGTGAGTGTTTTTAAAAGTTTATCAAAATAATAAACATACATATTTTGATGAAAACTTTATCATATATAAGTATTTTGATGTTTGATTTAAAGTTTTTGTTAAAACATAAATATTACTGGTTTTTGTATTAATAAAACATAAATTAATAACTATTTTTGTAAGAAGATTATGTCCGCAAAATAATAACATTAAAACCCCTGGCATGTATTAAAATTAATAAAACATTACTATGAAAAATAAGTTTTTATTATATTATTTTTCTTAATATCAAAATCATTTTGTTAACTTTAGTTTTTTACGAAATGTGTATTATTAGAAATTCGTTTTTAAAAATTGTAAAATTTTCCTTTTATTATATATGTATTAATTGGAGAAAATAAAAAGGAAATTAAATTAAAATAGCAGAAACTATCAAATAAAAAGGAAAATCAATTTAGTAGTGATAATTAAATATTATATTTTACATTCATTAAGGGTACTTTTGTAATTAACTACCGCCAAAATTAACGTGAGAGCGACACATAAAAAATTCATTTCTCAAATAATATTAGAGAGATTAAAACTGATATATCTTTTGAATTTAACCTTTACTTCACATTCATCGTTAGGGCTGGGCAAAAAACCCGGATCCGAAGAACCGAACCGAACCCGATCCGAAAAAGTAGTATCGAACCCGAACCGAAATTGATTCAATATCCGAATGGATTCAAAATTTTGGTATTTAAAGAACCGAAACCGAACCCGACCCGAACCGAAGTATTTCGGGTATCCGAATATATCCGAAAGAGATTTATATACCTATATATATTAATTATTTTAGATTTAATATATATAAAAAACATTCAGTATATATATAAAATACTTTGAAGTTATTCAAAATAGTTGTAAATATATGTAAATAGTCAAACATACATGTCTAAAATTGCTAAAGTACACTCAAAACATCAAAAATACTTAAAAAAGTTATTGATTCACAATCCAAATATTCAAATCAAACTAATTTATATGTTAATTTTAGATATTTTGACTTATGTTATTCAATTATTTGTAATATATTATTTTGTTTATAAATTTTTAGAAATTTAAAATATATATTCAATTTTAAAAAATTTAAAAAGAATTTAAAATGGGTTATCCGAACCCGAACCGAACCCGCAAAGATCCGAACCGAACCCGAACCGAAATTTAGAAATATCCGAATGGGGCTAATATTTGTGAACCCGAAAACCCGAAACCCGAATAGATCCGAACCGAACCCGAATGGGTACCCGAACGCCCACCCCTATTCATCGTAAAAAAAAAATATTTTACCTTAAAGTTTACCTACCACTAAATTAATAAATATTAAATAATTATTTTATGAGATTATTCTCTATCCAAACTTTCCTAACTTAATTAATTAACCAAGAATTATTATTTTTATTAAATTAATCTCTAATAACAATTACAATTAACTAAATTTTATAATAAATTAAATTAATTTATTTAAAATATGACTACAAACTTTGAATGATATACCGTCATGTATATTATTATTTCCTTTCACATAAAAATATAAAATATAAATATTTTTTTTAAAACATATAAAGTTATCAAATATATGTTAAATAATTTGATGATTAATATAATTCATACATATATCTTTAAATTTTAATAATACAACAAATAAACTTCAATTTCTTTCTCTAAAAATAAATATAGAAGTAGAATTCATTTATATAAAGCACTTATAGACATACCTATCTATCTATATTATTAAAATATAAATACATTTTATTTTGGAAATATATATTTATTAATATATATATAAATATAATTGGTGTTTTAATTTATAAAAAATACAACAAAAAGGTTTCTATAGTTAAAATACTATTTGACGAATATGTTATATAACATATCATTTTATTGGTTTTATATCCAACCGCAATATGAACAATCCACAAATTATACAGTTAAAAACCGCTGATCTGTCTTACAATACATATAATATAAATCAAACAAATATCCATTTTTGAAATTCATATATATATATATATATATATTCTATTAAACAAAAAGAAAACAACAAAAAACCTCGAACTTTCAAATTCAAAAAAAAAAACTCAACTCGTGTTTGAGAAAATAAAATCTCAACTTTCAAATATTGGCAAACTCTCATTTTTGTTGATTTGGCCATTATAGAAATTTGGAAAAGTTAACTGTTAAACTCGTAAACGTCTGTTAACACACTAAGCAAAACAATATCGTTTTGCAGCTGTAAACACTTAAACCATCTCCTCTTTTGTGGAAGCAAAGCCCTAAATTAAAAATCCTAGATTTTATAATTCCTTAATCTCTCAATCCTCTTATTTCTTAAGTCCAGAACCACTGACGACAGAAAGGATGGCTAAGACAATGTGGTTACTTCGGGCCCATCGTACTGAGAGACCTGAACTAGAAAGTGTTATGGAATCTAGAGAACTTATGATTGAGCTACTGAATCAAGTCGATGAAGAAGGTGATAATGAGACTCATCAGAATGATAATGAGGCTGAGCATTATGATATTGTGTTGAAGAAAAAGTTTTAATCAGTAAACGATGTCGTTTAGTGAGTTAATAGATATCTGTGAGTTTAACAATTGACTTTTTCGAATTTCTAAAATGGCCGAATCAACAAAAAAATGAGAATTAAAATAGCTAATATTTAAAGTTGGAGTATTGGTTGAATGTAAAACAGCACAATAACATAAGAATGTTCATGAAAATAATGAGAGAAATAGATATCTTTAGTTTATTGGTTTGTGCATATAAATTTACTTAAAAAATCTAAACCAAATCATATGTTAAGGGATTACTGATTTTATCTTTTAATTAAAATACATATCTTATTAATTTTAACATAAATAGTGTAGAAAGTAAATTAAATTGGGTGTTATTTTGTTGAATTTTATTGGATATGAATAAAGATTTGCTTTCACATGTTTGTTGTGTTTTTTTTTTCAACTTCACATGTTTGTTGTCATAAACAAATACTAGATTTTGACCCGCGCTTAAGAAGCGCGGGTATTTTTTTGTTGATCGTAAAGCTAAATATTTTGGAATAGATACTTTGATGGGTTTTGATGGTGTTTTTGAATTTGATTGATTTGATGGTAAAAGAGGTCCGAGATAGCTTGTATTTATAAAAGAAGAGGGTTGTTGTCAATTTAGGTTAAGAGAATATATGAAAGAATATTTTGTAATCAATTTAGGTTTCCCAAAATCATGGTAGAAAATATAAGTAGGTGCAGTTTAGATTTTTTTGGTTGATATAATTAAGGTAAATTAAACAGTTGGCCGTAATAAATTAACTTTTAGATGAAATAATTTAGATTTTGACCCACGTTTCTTATATTTTTATTGACCGTAAAGTCAAATATATAATGAATTTATGTCTATCATTAGATATCTATAATATTTAAAATTTGTTTTATTATTTTATTTCAGTCTTGTAAAAATTAATAAAAAGAATATGGTAAAATATCTTAAAATCAAAAGATTGTTATTAACCCATTGAGAAGTGTGGTTTCTATTTTTTTTTGATTATGCACAAATGAATACTTATTTTTTAATTTTTTAAAAAAAAATTGAAACGGAGTTAAATTAAGGCAAATTTCATAAATAATCGATAATATCACATGTCTCTAGAATCTGAAAATAGAAATCAAACCGATAACCAAATGTGTACTTAAATTTTTTATATATAAATTATATACCTAGAAATATTAATTATATATAATATCTAAATACTAAATAACCTAAAATACTATTTTTAAACCAAATTAGGCAAATCAAGTAATTACCTGAATATTTTAATTAAAATATTCAACCTATCTGATATTTAAATCGTAGGCTAGTTTATATTTAAAATTAAATAAAAATATATCATGTAAAATAAATAAACATATCTTATTTAAATCAATTTTTGACCAATTTTGTTTGAATCTCCAACTTATAATGTTTAGACCCATTTAATTTTAATATATCATAAAATTAATCATTTAGTTCTTGTTTAAGAATGTAATATCAAAATTTAATAATTGATTGCTTATAATTAATTAAAAGTGTCATAGTTATATCATCATGAATAGTTATTGTTAGAGAATATTTATAATAGATTATAGAAAGTAATAATGAGTTTATTTAAATTGAAAAGTATTTATATAGTTAGAGAAATATAAGGAAAGACTAAAAAATGTTAGTCTAATGAAAGTATCCAAACAACTCTTTTAAGTAGATTTATTTAGACTCATTGTGCGAGCTTAAGTGCTTAACTCAAATCTGTTAAAAATGATGCTGTTTTAAATTCCACCTAGATTCTAATGTCATTTATATACTTTCGCAAAATAAGTAAAGCAACTGAACAATTGATTCAAAGTAAAGAATTATAAAAACAAACCTGGGTTCCTTCCCACAAATGCTTGAGCTTGCTATTTTCTAAATTGAGTTCCACTAGATGTTCTGGCCTAAGTGTATGAGGAAGACACTTTCCTGGATATTCCTCCCAATGTAGTAACTTCAGACGAGGTGGAAAATCTATGTTCTCTGGTACGTGAACTCTAATATTTGTGTCCCTTCTTGTGTTGTAGATCCAGAGAAATTGAAGATTGCGCATAATTTTCAAAGCTCTCGGGCTTATTTCTATGATGTCTTTGACTGTAGATATATCAAAACATATCCCCATCAAACTTCTATTACCCTAAATAAAATTCAAAATAGAATAAATTAAATTATGTGAGAGCAATTAGGTAAGATCTGTGGGCCTTTGGCAAATGAGAAGAAGAAAAACTTACAGAATCGTTTTCAAGAGCATCGAGAATATCATCAGTATCAATTAGGATTTGGCGTTTCCAAGGCTCCTGTCTTTGAATGGCTTGTCTACCCACTTGTTGTAGTAACTTGTGCATCACTATTTCTCCTTTTGTCGATAACTGTATGAGAGATTTGTAGGCGAGGGTTCTTAAGCCAAGTCGAACATCCAGGTTACTGTCACCGAGCATTGCTTTCACATGATCATTGTCTGTGTAGTTGAAGAAGACTGCAATGAGGAGAAATAGAGATTGGTCGTTCTCATCTAAACTGTCGAATCCAACTCTTAGCACTGTATCGATCTTTGGTATACTGCTATTTTCTAGTCTATGCAGTATACTTTCCCAGTCATCTTTTTTTTTCTTTTCGCGTAACATTACACCCATGACACGGAGACCCAATGGAAGGCTACTACAAAGCTCCGTTGCTCTTTGGGCAAGCTTTTCAAAACCATATGGTGCCCAGCTCTGCTTAAAAGCATATCTACAAAGAATCATACAAGCATTTTCTATTGGTGGAAAGTCCACAAGGTATGTAATGTTGATACCATGTTGCTCCAAAAGCTCTTGATCTTCTGTGGTCACCACAATCCTGCTTCCAGGACCAAACCAGTTAGGGTCATTAGCCAAAGCTTCAAGCTGCTGAAGATTGTCCACATCATCAAGAATGATAAGAACCTTTAGGTCGCATAACCTTTCATGTATTGCACCTAAACCGTGTATTTCTATACTGTCTTGGTTTAAAATCTTCGAAAGAAGTTTTTCTTGTAAGCACAGCTTCAAACCATACTCGTCTAGATTACTATTATAGCTTCCCCTTATATTTTCCATAAAACAAGAAAGCTGGAAAGTGGTAGAGAGTCGGTAATGTAAAGCTCTAGCAATAGTAGTTTTACCAATGCCTGCAGGGCCACATATACCAACAATCATTGCTCCACTCTCATCACCATCATTTAAGTGTAGCAAAGATTGCATCTTCTCCAAGTGTGCTTCAATACCCACCATGTCTTCAAAATTGTTAGAGACAGTTGAAGCATTTAGTTTGTTTGAAACATCTCTAGCAATCTTTTCAATCATCTCCGATTCATTGTCCCTAAAAAGATAGAAAAGTCACGCGCTTTATGAGAAGCGAGATGTGAAAATGATTTGCATATTCTATTGGCCAAGGAAAAACTATTGGTTTGGTCTCGTGTTCTTGATTGTAACTAACATATTTAGCAACATCTTTTTCGGCAAGACGTTCATATATTTATAATAATATTTATTAATGGTAAGCTAATATATAGTTTTAGTTATAGCCTTATAGGTGTATATAAGAGACATACAAGTCTTATGTATAATAAAGTGGCGCATGAACATTCAGAACTCAATCAGATTATTTAGATTCAAAAAGAAAATTATTTGAAGGAAAGGAAAAGTACCAGTTTAGGAGGTGTTCACCGGCTATGTTGCCAGCATCGGTCAAAGCTTGACTCCATCTACGCCTCTCGTCCTCTGTTTTACTAGAACAAGTATTCTTGAAAACTTCCCCAAAATCTCCGGTTTGTTTCCGCACATCAGATGGATCTACTCCATCGTAAAAGATCGTCATCACTATTTGGTTCTTATCTTTCTTGCACTTTAAAATCTCCACCAGCTCATCCAAACACCAGCTTGATGCAGCGTAGTTCTTGGAGAGCACCAAGATCGAGATCCTCGATTCCCTAATCGCTTGTGTGAGTTCAGGGGCAATGGTTTGGCCTTTCTCGATCCTTTGATCATCGAACATCGAAATCCCATTGTTGTTGAACTGTTTACGTAGATGACTGAGAAAGGTTTTACGGACGTCGGGGCCATGGAAGCTCGTGAAGACTCGGTATGTCCATGTGAGTGGCCGAGAAGAACAAGAAGAGGAAGAAGCCATGAGAGAGGAAAAGTCTTTTGTGGATGGAGAAAGTTGCAATAATTACAACAGTTGTTGAGTGATATAGGCCATGTTCGTTTCTCCATTCAAATGATCCATTCGAATGGAAATGAAGTTTCTGTTCGTTTAGACACAAAAAGAACAACTCAGTCGGATGGATCATTTGAATGATTTTCAAAAAATTAGGTTTAATTTCAAAAACCAGTTGACTGAACCGATTTGAATCATTTGAATGGAACTGGTTCAGTCAAAATATCGAAATGTCAATTTTGCCCCTCATCAAATTCTGAAATTACAAACCTAAAGGGTAAATCTATCTCTCGTATCTCTTAGCCGTCGACATTTTTTTCTCTCTCCATAGCTTGAGCTCTCTCTCTCTCTCTCCACCATAGCTTGAGCTCTCTCTCTCTCCACCGTGTCTCCTCTCCGCCGCGTCTCTCTCCGCCACGTCTCCTCTCCACATCTCTCTCTCTCTCACCGCAGCTCGCTCTCCGCCTCTCTCTCAGGTATTACTCCGACTCTCTCTCTCTCAGGCCACACTTCTCTGAAATTTCGTGATGGATTTGATTATGATGGGTTTAATTGTTCTCTGATTTGCTTATCTCATAGCTTGTGAATCTTAAGGAAGAGATTTAGTGATGGGTTTGATTGTTCTCTGATTTGCTTAGCTAAGCTTAGCTTATCTCACTAGTAGAATCTCGTAACTTGTGATTCTGTTGTGGGTTTTGTGTGTACATATAAAGAAGATGAAACTGACATTGAGTAGTGAAGCTTTTATAATGTAGCTTGAATCTTACTCACTGCCATAGTGTTAACAAATATGTAATGCTTTTATGCGCCAAGTGAAAGTTGATTATTCAAGAAGGCTCTATCATTTAGTTGGATATCAATTGTTATGTTAAATTTCAAAGCAACTTTTTGTTTTTCCTAGTTACTGTTTTTATGTAATTTAAGTCCTCTGTTATAGATGAAAATTATACATGGGAAAGCTCTTTTTAATACTGACTTTTTAAGACGCTTTGATGACCTTGATCTTTGAGCATCTTCTCTGCAGAAACATCTGAACTAGGTTGATGTTCGTTGTCTTAGCATATCTACTCACAAGCTTTAAAGTTTATGGTCATTAATATTTAAACAAAATATGGTCATTAATATTTAAAGTTTTAAGTTCAGCGTGTTTAGGTTAGTGGTCAACATCTACAAGCTAAACAATAAGTTTATTAATATGTTTCTCTCGCATATTCATTTGGTCAAAGAGGACAATTCATTTAAGGCATAAGAAGTTTCTAAAGATGGTTTACTGTTTTTTATTTTTTTTGATCAGTTACCTAGTTGCAGCCACTGGCCTGTAGAGCTTGTGGCGTCTTGCTTCCAATTTCATTGACTTTGTTCTTGTGTTATGAGAATCTGTTTTGTTTGGTTCAATGATTCTAACGTTTTAGGTCTGGTAATGGTTTTGATATTTCAGGTTTGGTGAAGTAAACAAGGTTTGGTGAGTGTTCGAAATGGACAGTGTAAGTCTCTCTTCTCCATTGTGTAGTTATATCCTGTTCTTGTGTTTATTAGAATCAGTATGTTCTTGTAGCTTTACTAGAATCGGTCTTGTGTTTGAGATGATGATTCATGTTCGGTAGATCACACGTTGAATTGTTTTGCATGTGTTTGTCTTTGTATCGTTGAGTTAATTCATGTTCTGTAGATCACCACTTTTAAGTTCAAGTAAGCAAATGAATGTGTTAAGTTAACGTGAGTGCTCTTATTGATAACGTAGTGATAAAAGTTGTGAATTGTGATGTTGTATACGCTGAGCTTTCTTTGTTTAGTTAGGCTAGTGTTTACTCTTTTTAATTGAGTGTTTATGTGCCAGGTTTCATGTAGTCTTGTTGTTGCTGGAATAGTGTTGAACTTTCTTATAAGCTGAAAATGCATTTTTATGGCAGGTTGAATCTTAGGAAAGCTTGGAGTGTGGGAGGTCTTACATATAACATTGTTTTTCATCTATTGTGAAAGTTACTTTGACCGCAAGCTATCCTTTAAATTTCAGTTTTATAAGACTTGAGTTTCTACTTTGTGTTTCTACTTTTAATGTTTAGAAGTTTATTCAAATTTGAGTTTGCACTTTGAGTTTTATTAGAAGTTATAAATTTTAATGCAATTTAAATAAAGGAGTGAATATATGATTTTTTATAAATTTATGTGAAATAAAAAATTATAAATTTATATGAAATAATATTTATAAATGTAAAAATGAGAATTTTAAAATATTTTTAGTGTAAATATATTTTAGACTAAATAATATTCATTAGTAAAGTTAAAATTAATATCAAACATGTGATAGAATCAAAATAAGGGTACATTTGTAATTTGTTTATCAAACTCATTTGAATGGAAATA